TGGCTCCGTCCGCGTCTATGTCGGTTATCGCCGTAAAAATAGAATTTGTTACTCGCTGATCATGTAGCTTTACATTGGTGGTGGTAGTGGTGGTTTAGGCGTAAATACAAGTGTGGATATACAGGGTGTAAGGGACGTCGTAGCGTATACTGAATTAGTGTATTCAGACCATCATTCTGAGTCTAAAATCATTGGTAATTTCTGCCGGAAAATTAAACTTTTTATGCAATCAGCTGTCAAAGGTTAAGGTCATTCTCCGTTGGTATCGCACAAAAGTAATAACTACATGTGTATTTCGTTCAAACAGTCTACGCACACTAACACAAGTTGGCGGTCAGAGGGGAGGCCACGCAGGCTTCAGTTCTTTGATTAATTCCATTGCAGTTTTTGACCGAATGCGGTATTTCTTAAATTATTTTCGATGGTCTGATTACACTATTTCAGTATTCGTTACCAACGTGCATAATTAAAGGTATGGTATTAGTATAGTTACAAGTATGCTATAAGTATAGATTATTTTACATATTAATTACTATACAGTTACGAGGGCGAATTCAAGTCTCCATTTTAGGTTCGATTAGCCCCCTTATAGGACTCGAACTTTTCGCTAATAGCAAATATAAGTTACATATTTTGCCACTCTGACCTGCTATCCACTAGATCCGTATAAACGTCATCCATACCTAACCTTACACACAACGCCATCTAGTTTCAAACTAAGCAAAGCTTGTTCTATAAAAAGTAGATTGACTGGCAGATACTTTTTTATTGTAAATATATACATATTAGATACAGAAACAGAAAACAACAATCACCCAAACTCCGAAACAAAGATTTTCAGATCATACAAACATTTGGTCCGACCCGGGAATCGACATATCATAGCACCACTGAGGCAGTTGATTATTGCTTTCTCTTCTTATCTTCTCTTCTTATTTTCTCTTCTTATCTACCTTTCTTTTCATTATATTTCACATCTAATATATAAAGTGCCCGGTTGCCGCTAATAGGAACAATAGTAATAGGCTCTATTAAGCAAGTGGAACTAAAATTATTGTTGAGAAAATATAGGCGGTTAATACTCTTCTGCTTACCGTGATTCTCCACGTCGTGAGGATATGAATGAATGTACGTTTTTTTTTTAAATTTTAGTGTTTGCGTTTCCTTTAATAAGTAAGCGGATTATCGCTTTCGTAACACACAAATACGTAAATTAGATTAATACTAATATAATTTTATTGCTGATTCTATATACCAATTTTGAATTTTGAATCCATGGTAATTTCGAATTTGTGCTCTGACAACATTCGAACATAATACCCACTTCAAATAAGTGGTATAGTAATAATCGGGATTTGGCGTTAATTCGAAATTCAAATTTGTTGGTGTTCTGGAAACAACTGTAACCACTCAATAATTTGAATTGTTGGTTTAGTGGTTAATTATGATGACTGCTTAGTCAGAGGTCGTGACCCTGAACTATTAATTGTGTGATAAACACAATTAACTTTTATTTTTTCTGAGTGTAATTTATCTATTATAATTATGTATGCTACAAAGGAGGTTTGGGCCTACTATACTACGCTGGCCAGACTGGTTTGTGGCAAGATTTTCTTCTTTTTGCAGTGCTGGTGTCCTGCGTAGTTAACTCCCTTAATCGGCTCTTACGACACCCACAGGATGAATTGGGGTAGTGACATTCCGTATTCCTAATCCGTCACTACACGTACGATACCATTGCCAATATTAAAAATTAATTAATTGCTAAATTTAGCCTGATATCAACATTTACGGATTGAATTGCCAATCTTAATTATAGATAGGTATGTCTATGGGTCTCATACACTATGGTCTCAGACTCACCCATGTCCATGGGTGGCATTAGTTACTTACCGTCAAGGGTCCAGTCTATTTTTTGGACGACTATATCATAAAAAGGCAATTTAAAGATATGTGATACCAGATAATTCCTTTGTATATACATAATTACATATCTAAGAAATTCTATTTGAAATCCGCAATTAAAAGAAAAAAACAAAACATTTTCCAAAATACATTTCATTAATAAATGTCATTTTTATTTCACGTACATTTCGTACCTTGAATCTAGATATTAAAATTTTAAAAAATATTACGTGTCCGTAAATCCATTTACATATTATTATATTTGGTACACAGATTTGTCATCAGCCATTGACTATCATCATTAACTTTAATACTTCTCAAATTATATTCAAACGCGACCTCCATCAGTACATTTATTTTGTTTATATCTCCAGTTCTTATCAATTACATAGTTCAATTTCTCTCAACAGCTTTACTTGCGACTACGATTGTACAAAAGTAATAAATCTATCCCTCGAAAACTATTCATTTTTCTGACTGAAAATCTTTCTATATATCTATATATATCCTTGTCTGTGCGTATGGCGATACAATATTCAAAGATTTATAACCATAGGTTGAGTCGTTAATGCATAAATGCGTTACAAACGAACAAACTCACGCATACGTATATACAATACTAGTCAGGATTAAACAAAACAAGACATTAATCGGTGAGATGTGTCTATGAACCATTACAATAATAATGGAAATTCACTAATATATAATATATATTTTAATCTACATCTTAATACCCGTATTGTGTAAATATGGCAGCTAAACTATCTTAAAAATATATATTTTTAATATTTTTGGTACATGGTACATCAACAGAAAGACCGCTCTTTCACATTTTAACTTAGAATATAACAAATGTACATACATTGTTCTTATTTCCAAAATCATTATTTAATTTTTACATTTTTAAAATCATTTTAATTATTTAATAAACTAAGAAAAATATCCTCACAATTTCCTCTAAAATGTGAAAATCTATAAATAATATTTTTAAGTGTTTTCATACGTAAAACCTCTTCGATGAGATATAGTTTATTCTAACACAACGTTATCTTCGTCACTATTTACAAAAAAAAAACTAATATTTAACTAAAATGAAAATCAATAAAATTTAAATTATCACTATAAATAATACTGTCACATGCATTCATCTTATTTTTAGTTTATAAAAACCATTAAATTATTTAATAAATTTACTTTTATAAATAAATTACGTAGCTTATTTCTAATAATATTTCTTTAAATCACATTTTAACTTATTTAAAAATATAATAATTGAATATATTTCGACTGAATATTATAAGAAACGAGTCCTTTATTAAATTCAATAAGATACCAAAAATGTCTTCGTCGTTTGGGCTTTGTTCGCACTATGATAAATACGGTCGATTTATTTTACTTGATGTAGTATTGCGTTTAATATTATTATATCCTATTATATATGAGCTCACGTACTGCGATTTACTTGGTAATTTTGTAATGGTGTTCATACTATTTGAAATGCGTAGTAATGTATGCTTACTGCTGATATATTCTGTAAATTACGCATAATATATTGTAATAATCCACATGGTTGTTATATAGTGTATTATCATGTCAAATTTACACAAAGATACAAAGTGTAAGTTACAGTTTACAGAAGAAAGTAGGATTAAATACCATTGAAAATTTAAATGCCAATGTTGGGATCAGTATTTTAAATATGTAGATTAAAATTTATTTATGTGATTCAGTGTCGTCACAATAAGACGTAAAAGACTAAATAAGTTTTATATTTAATGTTTTATTAACTTCATTTGTATTTAAGTTAGAAAAGTTACTTTTAACCTGCTTTTAATTAATTACGTGTAAATGTAGTTTGCATGACAACACTATAATAATTCGTCATCTAGGAAGCCAGCCTCATCTTTATTTGCAGTCTCATCTAATCATCTCAGTATCCAGCTCCAAGTTAGTAAGTCCCTCTAGTAGAGTCGTCGAAAACACCATTTACATTGCTGCTGCATCGTCAAGATGGCATCCCCCCAGAAGCCGGAGATTCGACTGACAAGAGTTTTGACGAGTCCACCCAAAGTCCAACCGAGTGGATTGTGTGTCTTTTTTATTTTTTTATTTTATTTTCTTTTAAATATAAACCTATAAATTAATAAGATTTGCGTTCATATTTACAAAGTAAAAAAATACTGTTATTAGCCTCATAATGTTGTTTTAGTACTTAATAAACCAAAATAAAAACGTTGAAATCTCTAGCATAAGCTTTTATGTGGTGCATGATGCAGTGTTTCTGAAGATAATAAACTTTTTAAGGTTTATCATAGCGCGAACAGTCTTGTAGTATTGTAATAATATTTCAGTAATTAAAAAAAAATTGAGAGCGTAGTGGTAAGTGGCAGTTTAATGAATAAAAATATTAACGTATTCATGTTTTTGTTTCTTATAAGATTCGTCAGGTGTTTGGCCTTTGATAAAAAAACAACATGTTTATTTCTATTTTCATTATCAGAATGAACAAAGATGAAATAAGTTAATTAAATTGAAGTGGTTTAAAATACAGACATAATGAAATCTGATTTTATTTATTTTTAGTTGAGAAAAAATAAAATATGTGTCCTTAATTGGATACATAAAAAGATTAAGTTTAACTCCAATAGACGACTACTACTACTTAATAGATAGTCGATTTGGCAACTTCACTATATTTTTTTGTTAAACTCAAAATAAAATAATCTGCCACTTTATTTTAAGTTTAATAAAAATAAAGTATTTACTATAAATTTAATAAATGTCGATGATAGGCATAGCGCTTTTAATATGGCAAAGATTTATCTCTTTACAAAAGTTTAAATTGCACTAAAATATGTATAAAATATTTTTGATAATTACTTATAACTTTTAATTAAAACATAAATCTTTTAAAGTTAAAAGGTTTTCTGTAAACATTTACCAATTATAATGAATTTTAAATATCTCAAGTGGTGATTGGTAAAATTATAAGTTGAAAATTTGAAGAATTAAATTTTAAAATAGGCAGTGTCTTGTATGTCTATGAAATTAATAGTATTTTTGCAAAAATATAAATATCTAAATACAAATTATATTTATGAGTCTGTTTGTGTCTCGATAGTGTCCATATGCCGCGTTAGTGTCGTCTCCTGTATTTCATCTTCACTTCTACATGAATCTGTATCTCCTGTAAATAAAAACACACTTTAATAATTACAATTATTGACTGATTATATTGAAATGATAATAATTTCTACTTTGGTATCTTTTGTTTTAGTTGTTAAGCATTCGTATATGTTTTAGTTATTCAAAGATGGTAGGCCCGACTTACAACATTTATTTTATAACGGTACACTGTCTAGTACCTGTATTTTATACCGGGATAGTTGGCCCTCCTTAGGGGAGTTCGTTCAGCATTGGATTTAGATAGGCTTATGATGATGGTGACTTACTAGTAGGTGCCAATCAGGTTAGGATATGATCCACAGATCATAGATACGAAGGAACTTTTTTAACATTATACATTATAGAAACATCTACAGTGTTTATGGTATTTTGTGTAGAATCGAGCATTTGTCTTTTAATCTAGTCCGTATGTCCGTCATAGGCCAGGATCGCGTATTAGTATTTGTTGTAGGATTATATGGATACGCGATCCCGGTCTAGGACAATCTCCTTCCTTATTGCACACGATTACATTATCCAAGAGTAAGCATCATTAAGGCGGTCGCCCATAAAAGATATTAATCAAAACGTTGTGCAGCACCAACCCTTAACGAAATTGGAAAAGCTAAAGCAGTTTATATTTGTCAAGTGTATTTATACCAATTATGTTTTATTTTATTTACAAACTTCTGCGCTCCGACAATTCCCTCAGGATGACCGACCATGCTTGCAGATATACACTTTAAAAACCACTTAGAGCATTATGAAGAAATTTTAAGTAAGTAACTTATTTACTTCCAATGAATAAAACCACGAACTTACCGTGAGCCCTAGTATCCAAAGCTAAAACAGCCAAAGGTGCATCTTCTAATACCCCTGACCATCGGGCCGCTAGCACTCTGGAGCCTCTGTGTCCTCTCACAACTACGGTGGGCATCACGCTGGAGTTCATTGAGGACCCGCCATACATTGAAACGCCAACATTTCTTCGAAGTATTGAACTAGAGTGTAATGAAAAGTCATTAAAAAAATAATTTTAAGCTTATATTATATGCCTAATGATAAATGATCTATACTTGCATTATCCTTGTATTAAGATACCATAACATGGACAAGCCTTCCATAAGGATGATCGGTATTTTTTTTTGTTAAATTTTCTAAAAATGAAACCTGGCTTAAGAACAATTAATCGCCTCTGAAACCCCCTTTTTTTTTCCGTGTGGAAATCCCCTCGGATATGTCGGACTCGAACCGACTAAAACCGCACGCCGTCTCGGGTACTAATAGCCGTCGAACAAGGTATACCCTAGAAAGGAAGTCCCTGGTGCCCCGACATACCTCTGAAACCCCCTGCATACTAAATTTCATGAAAATTCAGAGCCGTTTTTGATATTCAGATTATATATATATATATATATATACTTGAATTGCTCGTTTAAAGGTATTTGTTTTTTTGGTAAATTTTCTATAAATGAAACCTAGCTAGATCGATTATACTAAATAATATATAGATAGATAGAACATACTGAACTTCATAAAAATCGTTTGTGCTGTTTCCGAGATTCAGAGCTTTTACTCTTAGGTATTCATTAAAGTAAAACAGTAAAGGTATTTATCATCACATCATCAACAGCCTACAGCCATACAGCCAGTCCACTGCTGGACATAGGCCTCTCCTTAGAAAGGAGGTTTTGGCCAACTATACCACGCCGGCCAGACGGGACGGGTTTGTTTCAAGTTTTCTCTTTTTTGCAGTGCTGATGTTCTGTGTAGTTTGTTTCTTTAGTCGGCTCTTACTACACCCAGGGGATGAATAGGGGTGGTGACATTCCGTATTCTTAATCCGTCACCCCACGGATTTTTAAAGGTATTGGATAACGTTTTTTTTTTGGAATTAATAAAAAAAAATTAAATTGATATGTACATAAAGCGATAAGTAATAACAATTTAAATTAAGTGAAAAAAAGTTTTACTGCGTAAATTTAGTATAGCCCCCTTCGAAATACATTGGAGTTCATACAGCAAAAAATTTATTTCCAGAAATTTCGACCTGCGCTGTTCCGACCTTCGATGATATTAGTTATAATATTCAATATCTGTACATACATATGTATACAACTACGCAATCAAATAATGTACATAATATTATTCTGAATGCGTAATTGTGAGGTGGAAATTAAACTCAAATTAATTAAATTTTGAATGCTTTGTTTTGCTTCATTCACTTATTTGTATCATAAATTAATCCATATTCCAGTATAACTTGAGCTATTATTATATAGACTATCTGTATCATGTAAACACTTTATACTGGGCACTTGGAACTTTGTCAGTTTCTCTCTATTCAAACTAAAAATATTTTGAATAACCCACACCTCGGTAAATTGATTTAATATGGGTTACATCGAGACTGAAAACAAGTATATACTATATATATATATATATATGATATACATATATAGAGAACAAGAAAATAAATCAGTCATCATCTTTTTAACCGACTTCAAAAAGCAGGGGGTTATCAATTCGGATGTTTATATATGTTGTTATGTATGTTCGGACATAACTCCGTCATATATAGACGGCTGTTTAAAATCCTTTTTTGTTCTAAAGGAGTTTATCCCGAAATGGTCCCATTTACATTTCATATAGATCTGATGATGAGTTTCGGAGACAGACAACGGAACTCTTCAAAATGACAGCAAATCAACTTCGATTGCTGCTAACTTTTTAGTGCTCTTTGTTGTTAGTCTAGTTTGAAGTCGGTTTATCTTTTTAAAAAAAGGATTACTATTTCTCTCTCTTCTCTTCTCTCCCTCTCTCTTCTCTCTCTCTATCTCTCTCTTTTCTCTTCTTCTCTCTTTATCCCTTTCACTCTCTAAATCTTTGTAGATTTAATATGTCATAACTTTCTGCAAATTAAATTAAATTAGAAATTTACCTTTGCTCATGATCCCTTGGCCGGCTCTTCTTTTTACACATGACTATCATGGCTACGCACAACGTAGTCAAAATAGTCAGCAATACTAAAGACAACACGGCACCGACTAATAGTGCCACGCTGTTGTCAGTGGCAGCAGGTTGCTGTGGTGTTGCTGGAGTCATAGTTTGAAGAGACCCTATCATAGAAAATAATAATAATATTTTAATTTAATATTTTATTGTAAAACGTAAATCTAACACTTATTATTAATATCAAATTAATGATGTTCAAATAGACAAGTAGAAAGCTTCAAATATAGGTAGCCGAATAACGCAAGATTCTAGATGTTCCAGAAACATAGTAGAGAGAATCGCAATCGCAAGAAATACCTGTCGAAGGCCAAGATCAACACCGAAATAATAAAAGAGCTCATCAAGACATATATATGGAGTATTGTACTTTATGGCTGCGAAACGAGGACGCTGACCCAATGAGACAGAGACAGGTTAGCAGCCTTTGAAATATGGTGCTGGAAGCAAATGGTGACCATCAGCTGGATGGACAAAAGAATCAATGAAGAGGTCCTGCTAATGGTGAGCGAAGAAAGGCAATTGTTGAATGCCATTGAAAACAGAAGAGACAAAATATTTAGGCACCTGATAAGACACGATAACTTCTTCAGAATAATACTGGGAGGAGAAATAGAAGGCAAGAGAAAACGAGGACGGCCTAGATCAACATACACACAACAAGTGAAGGAGAAAGTGGGAGTCGTGGCCTATCGGGTGGTCAAACAGATGGCAAGAAATAGAGAGGAGTGGTAAATAAAAAAAAAAAAAAAAAAAAAAAAATTGTGCCATTACGATTGCACCGACAAGGATTTGGTCCTTAAATTAAAAGAGAGAGATCACACTAAACATTAATTAACTTCTATGCCACTCACGTTCTTAGTATTTTATTAATCAAAAAAAAAATCCTTCAAATCCTCGTCCTTACAAACTTTTTACTACAGTGGACTACTTTCATTTTAAAAAAGTTGCCCGACATATCCCAAAAGGTTCATCATAACAACCGGTCCTGTGCAGCTGCCCGCATCCACGACTTCCTGCGACCTTCATACAATTATTTATCCTATTATATATATTATCTTTATAATATACCAACAGGTCAGTCAGTCAGTCAGTCAAAGGATGGAAGATCTATAAAAACGACACCGCACCTTGTTTACTAAAATGATAGACAAAGCTCAATTAATAAATAGTACATACCAGGTCTATCCAAATCATCCGCAGTTCTTATCGAGACGCTATGCAACGCTGCAGGTCTAGGCGATCTTCCTCTTGGTGTCTCAGCATACACTAGCAATGTATACCGTCCAGGTGATAGAGCGTCTAGTGCGAACTGAGGCTTATCGTTCCTCACTCGGTACACAGCTTCGGTTAGACCAAAACCTGACACACCCTGGGCGGAAAGACAAAATCAAGGGGTTTATTAATAAGTTTTTAACTATGTAATTACTATATGTATGTGTAGAAAGGTAAGTTTTAAAGGTATGTGCAGATATTAGAGCATTCGATTGCACGGATGACGTAGTGGTTTGAACGGTCGCGCTATGCTGAGTGTTGTGGATTCGATTCCCACATGTGGATCACACAAAGTGTTATCCACACTATGTGTGATCCAGAATTTCTTGTTCTGAGTCTGGGTATTATTTGTATACGTTTCATGTATGTTTGTAAAGTCCCCCGCGACAAAGGATATATTAATATAAAAGAAAAAAAAACAGTCTGGTACCAGGTCACCGCAACCAGGTTGCACAGGCTGATATGCAACCTGGTCGAAATAAATAGTTTACACATTTGAAAGTGTTAACTTTTTGCAATAATTATTTTAAAGACAGTCAAGAGGTATTCGAAAAAAATGAAATAAAAGGAGAATCTTAAAAACCTAAATTAAAATTACCTTTCTTGTAACTCTTTCTGTTTTTTCAAGTTAAGTATTTTAATGAAAATCAATTTTACTTACCTAATTTATTCTCAAAGAATACAATCAAATGGATTCAAGAAAAAAAAATACTTTGTTTTTAAAGTCAACAGACCCCATTCACGTTCACACGATGTTAAAAAAACAAGCACACAACATAAAAATACCAGTGATCCTATGAAATAACAAGAATCGCCTATAAATTAACTGAACCTGTGATGAAATTCTATTGAGGACAGTCACTGCTGTGTTTTCAAAGGATTTTTGTTTTTTTTAGAATCATTCTACTCCTTTGTATTCATACTTATGTAATAAACAAGTAACTCGCTTTTATAACTTAACGAGATAGAGAGTTCACTTAAAAATCTTTCGGCAACTTTTAATAAAACTCCTGAAACATCGTTATCCGTACTGGGATAAAAAAAAACAAAATGATTGTGTAGATCTTTTGAGTTAAATCATGTGTTAAATAAATATCATTGTTAAATTATTAATTAAAGGGCTTATATGTTGGCTTAGTTAAGTATGATTGGCTGTCCAGAGGTAAAAAATTGAAAAATTATCGAAAATAATTCAAATTATAAGTAACTAAGTGATAAATTGAGGAAGTTTAATTTATGTAGAATCGATTGAAAAATATCGAATCAACATAAAAAGGTAGGAGGGAAAAAGCTGCTTTAATTATTTTTTATTAAAAACAGTGAACTACTAAACCCAAAACAAATGAAAATCTTTTTGAGGAACAGAGAAGAAAAGAATACTAATCTCTACTGTCTAATCTCTTTATACACAGATATAAAAAGAAATCTATTACCATTTCTAATAAAGAACACTCAATACTGATGGCATCAAGAAAGTTATTGACAAGAGGATGGTGGATGCGTGTCACAGTTAGCACGGCATCAGCCACGCTCACCTGGTCATTCATAGTGGAGATCTCATTGTTGTCACTCGTATCCGTTCGGTGTCGTACCTCCAGTACTTCCAACAAGAATCGCTGTGGTAAACCCCCGTCGTGGCCTGGCTCGCAGTGAAGGAGTTCGTTTTCTATCTCGCAGTTATTTGGCGGTTCCGGGAGCGCTGGGAATAAGTAATACTTTGAAATAATGAAAAAATAATGCTGTGTTTGCCTGACAATCAGATGTTATACTAGAACCAAATTTACAATATTTCAGACATAAATGATTTTAGACACTTTACACGGCTATTTGACCCCAAACTAAGAAGAGGCTGGATCATGGATAAGAGACTGGTATTCATAGATTAATTAGTTGTCTTTGGTGGGATCGAACCAGCGATCTCTTACTCAGCAATAAGTATTACTGAACAGTAGATCACACAGGGGTGTTATACATATTGTATTGTATAATTTTTAATTACATCATAATTAAAAATAATTAATAATTCGACTGACCTGTTGGCCTAGTGGTCAGTAAGGCTGACTGCTAAGCCACAGGTCGTGGGTTCGTTTTCTACAGAGAACAAATAATTGTATTCTGAGCATGATCATTTGTTCTGTGTCTGGGTGTAATTTATTTAAAATATGTTTGTATTTAGAAATATATATTTATATTGTATGTTTATCAGCAGCCTGGTTACCATGGCACAGGCTCTGCCTAGTTTGAAAACAGACTGCCGTTGTGTGAGGTGTGTCAATTTCCAAACAAGTTTTGTATTAAAACATATAACAGTACCAGCTGGCATGATCCTGAACAGACAAGGCTCCCGCTGATTACCGACGTCATTGCTGGCCCAACAAGCAAGCCAGCCCAGGTCTTCATCACTGTCAATTGGTAGACCATGTACCACTGTACTGGTAGAACCCATGACAGTTACATTTGCTGCGGGTATCTAAACAAAAAAGGAATAAAAAGAACTTTATTCATGACTGTTCAAAAAAACATTCATTCTTACAAGACATACAGTTGAATTTTCACGGGGATTTCGTCAACGTCTGACGAGCTAAGTTTAGGGTGTACCAAGGTGCCTATAGGGTTTCCTTCTGACCATGCAACATTAAATTGATATCCAGGTGTTTTCATTTGCAGACTCCTAATGTTAACATTAAGAGAAAAAAAAGGGTGACAAAAAGTGGTGAAAATAGGTATGTAGTTATTTTTATTTTACTATAAATATTTATAGTAATGTCATATAACACCATATCAACAGCCTTTAATAGTCCACTGCTGGACATAGGCCTCTCCTTAGAAAGGAGGGTTTTGCCTACTATACTACGCTATCCATACGGGTTAACACAGGGCTTGTGTCAAGTTTCCCTTGTCTTTGCAGTGCTGTTGTCCTGCGTAGTTTGTTTCCTTAGTCGGCTCTTATGACACCCAGGGATGAATAGGGGGGCGGTGACACTCCGTGTTCTTATTCAATCACCATACGGTAATATACTTTTCTGTATCTTTCGCTTCATACTATGTACGAAGAAAGATTAAATTCCCAAAGAGAGTTCTTATGAGGGAGACGGCCGGCATAAATAAAGTACCAAAAACATTTCGTAATGAAATAAAGGAACGCGTGAAAGATAATGTCGTGTGATCAAGGAAATGGAAGAAAAAAAACTGATAGCACCAATCTAAATTAAATTTGGATAAAAGGTAACAAGGTGCTAATGATTAATAGGAATATACTCACGGGTAAAACATCCTTAGTGCCATTATATGTCCAGTAAAACCTGAGTGGCCCAGCGTCCCGACTAACCGGAGCCGTGACAGAACACCTCGCCCTAACTTCTCCGCCTGGTGCTCCTGCTAACTGCTGGACCACGTTGCCTGATGCGCACTCTGGCCGAGCTGTGAAAAGCTTCTATATTAAGATTACAATTGAAGATTTGCTTATAAAAATATCAAATCATCAACAGCCTTTAATAGTCCACTGCTGGATATAGGCCTCTCCTTTTCCTTAGGTCCGTGGCCAGACGGGTTGGTATAGGGTTTGGGTCAACTTTTCCCTATTTTTGCAGTGCTGGTGTCCTGCATTGTTTTGCGCCCTTAGTCAGCTCTTACGACACCCACGGGATGAATTGGGGTAGTGACATTCCGTATTCTTAATCCGTCACCACACGGACAATTAAATAAAAATTAAAAATCGAATTCTGTAGTCAAAAGAAAAAGAAATTAAATCGTTGAGATAGTAACTCACTAGATTTCACATTTTCCTTTAAAACAGAATTTACTGAAGTCATATTTGTAAACACACATACAGACATTGCATTTTTGTCTAAAACAAAATAGGTTAAAATTTCAAATTAATATAAATAGGACTTTTATTACAAAAACCGCCTTTTTTATGGAATAGGGGGCAAACGAGCAGACGAGTCACCTGGTGGAAAGCGACTACCGCCGCCCATGAACGCCTGCAACTCAGGAGTCACATGCGCGTTGCCAGCCTAAATCTGGGCTACTTATGAACTTTATACTACTACCCTTTTTACTAATATTAAACCACGTCGATGGCGTAGAAGAAATAAAACAATTACTTACAAAGAACGTTGAGTGCCAGAGGATCACTCAACGCACTGCCTTCAGAATTCCTTGCACGGCATCTGTACACAGTCGAGTGGTGTCTCCTCAGACCTCTAATCACCAGCCGGTTCCTCTCAACAGATACTCCGCCGACCGGGTCATCACGGATCAAGTGAACCTGGTTGTAATTGAGGAAAAAACTCAGTTGTTTTATATTATTATTTTTTTATCTTATGTTGAACTTTTTGGTAATATATTTTGATTATACATTATAAGGACAAACGAGCAGACAGGGCACCTGATGGTAAGTGATCACCGCCACCCATGGGTTCAGCTCAAGAGTCACAAGTGCGTCGCCGCCCTTTGAGTCCCCTTTCTCCTAGAATTAGGGTAGGGGTTGGCTATATTTGTCTTAATAACATCAGTTTTAAGTTTTTTAATGGTACTAATCCCTCCATCACGCGCACCAATGTAACTCCTGTATACCTGGATCAACAGCAGTGACCCACGAACACACCGAGTTATGACACTCGGGACGTCCCAGGAAAAAAATCAACAGTAATCAGGAGAAAATTGGAGGAGTTGGAAATATATTAAATCCAGTTCCCTCCTTAGCAAAACGGGAGACAAAATGAATTAAAATAGGCGTACACCCTTTGAAACAGGGAAACACCACGGCCGTAAAATATTATGGGTCCTAAGTGACTAAGAAAATATTTGATTTCTATAATATGTAAGGCGGAATCGCCTAAACGCACGGAAATCCACCCTAGTTTACACAAAATCCCCATAGTATACCACCCCAGATGTCACCTGCTAGCTATTCAGCATTATGTTAAGTTCATTGACGGTGACTCGACTAAATTAAACGAATACAGTTTGGTCTTAAAGTTACCATTACCTGTAAGAAATTGAGCGACACAGTGATCCACATCAAGCCATGTCCTAAACAACAGTTTGCGAATAGACGGAAAGAACTCGTAAAAGTGGCGCCCTTTAGATGTTTCGTCCCAGCGTTGTTGCCATTCATCAATGAGGTCATTATAGACATCGGACTGCTGTTGAAGCAATCTTGTAATTTTATTGCGATCTCGTGCGCCCATTAAATTGCTTTCCATGTTTTGTTGTCTTGAATAGTACATGGCTGATTTAACTCTACGACGAAATATTCCTTCCGCAATGTAACGTTTAAAAACAGTCAAAATCGTGTCACCCGAAAGTTTACAAGATTCTTTTATCATTTTGTTTGATATTTTATCATCGCCCGAAGCCTTGTTCACTAAGCTTTGCCCTTAAGCCTTTCCCGAAGCCTTGTTTTATAACAACAGTTTTCCAAATCCCCCCAGATCATTTCAGGCGCAGAGTGGCACACCGTGTGGTTCTAATCAGTCCGATTCCGACACACCCCTCCGTCGCAAAGCCCAGTGGGGTGGCGGCGCGAAGGGGTTTTCACACGTAAATTATGTGTATTTAATATGTTTATTATGTTTAATGTAATAGATAATATATTTATCTATTACCTTAACATATTTAATTTCTAAACCTACAAAAATTACGTTAAAAAGCAAAAAAAAGTGGACAACACTATCGTACTTTTTCATCATCATCACATCACATCAACAGCCTTTACTAGTCCACTGCTGGACAGGATGTTTTGGCCTACTATACCACGCTGGCCAGACGGATTGGTAAAGGGTTTGTATCAAGTTTTTCTTCTCTTTGCAGTGCTGTTATCCTGCGTAGTTTGCTCCCTTAGTGGACTCTTACGACACCCACGGGATGAATAGGGGTAGTGACACTCCGTATTCTTAATCTGTCACCACACGGAGACGTACTTTTTAATGTCATTATTTTGCAGTAACAAATTTTATTTATAAAAAGCGTCAATTAAATACTCATCACGCTACCTAAATACTTAACGGTACATGCTAACTTAAAATTTGTGTTAGGTAAGCTTTTGAACAAAAACACTTATTTATGTTTATACTATAAAGATTGCTTTTAAACAAAACAGTTCTACGTATTAATTAATTAGCCGTTGTGCGCAGTTTCTATTCTGTTTGTTATCATTTTCTAGCTAAATGTGTTTAAAAGAAAACGAACAAAAAATTCATCAGCTTTATTACATTAATAAAAATCTTTAATGTATTTTACATTTTTTGACTTAAATAATTTTAATAAAAATGTAGAATAAAGTTAATTTTTTAAGTTTATAATGTGAGGGAAATTTATTTATAAACCCACCCCGGCTTCGCACGGGTGCAGTATAGATATAGGTGTATAATACGGTGTCAGTGTAAAGTAATCCTCGGGCTCAGGAGTCAGGAGTATATGGTGATTCCATTAAAAACCACTCCGATGGTCGGCTTCAGGTGTCCTACTCTGGAAGGATCTACCCCTATCCCAGGGGAGAACACTTCCCCCCAGAATCTATTCTGTCCCCAAAGCAAAACGGATCTAACGTATTTTTTTATTGCATGAGGACAATACTGTATTTTTTTATAAAAAATTTTAATAGGTAAAGGGTAATAATGTTTACTGTGGGTTATCCTTAGGTGGTAGACAAATTGGCGAGCAAAGGGAACATGGGGTTCCCACACGGGGGGGGGGTCGTCTACTCGTCTGTAGATGACCCGAGGTATGTCGGGGTACCAGGGTACCAGCTTCCTTTCTAGGGTATACCTGGTTCCCCGGCTATTAGTACCCGAGACGGCGTGCGGTTTTAGTCGCTTCGAGTCCGACATGCCACTGACAGGTGGTATCCGAGGGGATTTCCGAACGGAAAAAAAAAAAAAAAAAGGTGGTAGACAAATAATGTCGTAGACATTTTTGTAAAATCTTTAAGATATACGGTTGTATAGTACATTAAAATAATGTACTACAGAACCTCGCAAGGTTTAACCAGGGTTTCCAATGAAAAACATGTTTTTTTCGACATTACATTTTAAATATTTAAAATTATTGAATTTTCTTTGCTATAATATGCATGTCATCATCTTCAACAGCCTATAATAGTACATTGCTGGACATAGGCCTCTCCTTAGAAAGGAGGTTTAATATTCATGTATTATACATATTTTTTTTTTTTCTTGAATCACTATTTTCATTGGTGAAAACTCCATTAAAATCAGTTGCGTAGTTTAAAGATCTTAGCGTACAGGAACAAAAAACGATTAATTTTAGACTATGTAAAGATGTTTACGAAATAATTTCTAATTAATTCAAGTAAATATTTTTCCACGTAAACATAAAGCCATAATCTATACTAAGCTTCATAACCTTTAATATCTTACGTAACAATTAATCCATTAATTAAATTCACAATCCCTAACAAACCACGATGTAAAAGTCACGTGAACTACGCAATCAGATCTGTCTCGAACTTTCAAGGACAATTTGATACATTTGTAAACGAGTCGTTCAGAAATTGAGAACAATAAGTTGAGCTATTAAAATATTGTTGATAGTCTAGTTTCCAATAACTAACATAACAACATTTTTTTACTCAATCTTTTATATTTAAGGTTTAATTTAGAAATCTGATATGTAGGTATTGTACTTTTGCTTTTCACCGAGTGAATAAAGCTATCGGGGCCCAAAACCACTATTCCCTGATTATGGGGAGAGGATAAGCCCTAAAGGGCAACCACAAACTTGTGACTTGCTTGGATATAAACGGGTCTAAGAGTGCAGTAGCTCGGTGAGGCTGAAGTCGTATATTATTATGTACAATGTACTATAATTTTTTAAGTTTGAATTTCTATCAGAATTAAAAACGGATTCCCACAACTTTTTAAATACGTTTAAATGACCTGATAAAGATTTTGATTTCGATGCTCAAGTTAACTGAATATCTATTTGATCAATTGAAACTGGAAATAACTTTTAATATTACTGATTGTTTTAATGTTACGCCTTGTTTCAATTTATTTACTTTTTTTTCGTTTGTTACTACATACTTACTTACTTACGCCTGAAAAGCCTTTTGTATCTTGTGTATGTCTTAAGAATCAATTGTCGGTTTCCTATTGCGTACCTAAAACTCTAGTCTCATTCTTAATTCTATTTATTTCCAAGAGATTGCTTTTTTTTTCAATTACCATTAAAACTCCTAAAAATAATTGATCCCATGATATACATATTCAATTAATGGAATTAATACTCGTATTTAATACCTGGTTGCTGCTTAAAATCCAACACAGGAACTAAAAACCTAGAATTCAATAAACTATACGTCACAAATAACAATAAATTGGACATACCTCAGTTCCCTTATAAAAAGTAAAATTGACAGCTGGTGGTGACGCTTCGGCTGAACACAGAAGTGCCGCGTTCTCGTCTTCTCGCAGTAGACGAGGTTCTTTTGGTTCTACCAATGATATTTGGGTTACTGGAGGATCTAAAACAAAACAGGTGCAAATAAAGTATGAAAACGTGATGTAGTTTCTCTAATTAATATTGTAAATATGGAGTAATTGTCTTGGGTGAGCTTGTAAGGCTCGGAAAATGGAAGTAAAATTATAAATAAGTATGTTTTTTTCTAAAAGGTTAACTCTTTTTTCTTGCCTTTTCAAAGTGGCATAAACGATTACTCTAATATTATACTGAGAACGCTGGAGCCTTGTTCAAATAATTAGTCAATTGCATTTCTAAACTCTAAACTTTGCAAAGTTGACACATCATCAATGTCATAAAAGTCTGTTTGAGATTGTACGGGTGTGGACCGGCAACCGTGGTACACCAATCAGCACTCGTAGGTGTAATACCGAAAGCCTATCTAAAATACAACCTAAGTACGTGTATCGTACGTAACCTACGCCAAGTACCTAAATCCCTAGATTCCTCAGCCCTATCAATATGTGACCTTTGCTGTGAGTATATATATACATATATAGATAGTGCGGGAAGTCTGTTACCTGGAGACCTAGGGTAACAGACGGAGACGTGAAGGGAGCGGGTTTTAGGAGATGATTTTCTCACTGCCGGTCGAGCAGGCTCACAAGACCGATCTACTGACGGCTAAAAGTGTCTTGGCCGCAGTGAGAGGTGGGACAGGGTAATGAGTCAAAGTCGGATTAGACAAAATGACTGAGTTATTTACATAAAATACATCTTATATACTAATCTTACACTCTAAGTACACATGGATGGCTATTTGCTTGTGTACTATCCGTGTGTTGTGTTGATGCAGCTGCCTTAATCTCGGTCATGCCGAAATGTTGACAGTGCATCGACTTTACGCCGCACTGCGTGTGACATAGATGCTGTTGCTGGGTGATGCAATTATGTTCATGATTGAACAGAGATGTTTAAATAAATAAATGTAAGCTTCAGTAATAACAATTTTAGGGAAGTAAGCTTATGTATAATCGTGAAAGAACTGATGTCCCACTTATGAATGACTTGAATGGTATCCAAGAATCGAAAATCAAATGATGGATAAATTAGAGAATCTTGCGATCTTAAAGTGTATTTAGAATTGATTAAGGCTCGAACCGTGTGGCTTGGGTATTAAATAAAGTTCAAACGTCCATCATAGTTTGATTGATTAGAGTTTTCGTCAAGTTCTATAAATCCACAGGCTTTTACTGAAGGGCTCACGACTCAAACAAATAGTTTTGAACTTCTAACTTTGGGATTATAATGTTGAGGACAAGAGAATCTAAGAATTAAAATAAGCCATGTCTTGAATAATTTGGAGAGAAATTGTGGTTTGAGTTGATCCCAACGTATTTATAAATAACAATTAATAATAAGTAACTTGTAGGCATTATTCTGCCCTATCTTATCGAATGGAAGATTAAAAAAATTAGGTAAAAAAACACCAAATTATGATTATTACTAATAAGTTCTATCTAGTATAAGAATAAAGATGAGACTAAGCGACGAATAGCCAAACTCTCTAAACTAAAAATCACTAAAAAATAGTTTATTATTGTCAAACAACGTTTGGAATTCTGAATACGTATTACTTGACAGCAGTTTAGAGGTTTCGAACAACAGAATTAGTAAAAGTATCAATTAACAATGACCAGTTTTGGCGCAGTCTTAGCAAATAAGAAGTATTCGGGGATATTTGCGGTTAAGTAAGATTGTACTGCAACTTTGAGAATCTAATATACTTTGTAATAGTATTCTAAAAGCTAATAAAAAGAATAAAGCTTTATTCCGTATATAAATGTCGTCCCTATTTATTCTTAAAGGGGAGATAATAAAATTACCTTCAGCTTAGCAGTCTAAATTACTAACCACTAGACCGACAGGCCATAGAGGTTTCTGTGTGATCTGTGTGCTGCAACCTCTTTTTTTTCTGTGCGGAAATCAACTCAGATACCACCTACCGGTGACTACGTCAGACTCGAACCGACTAAAAACCGCACTCCGTCTCGGGTACCAGTAGCCAGAGAACCAGGTGTACCCTAGAAAGGAAATCCCTGGTACCCCAACGTAACTCGGGCCATGCTTGCTACCTCTGTAACTATTACTATTTTTTACATAATATACCTCTTATTCATTCCCATACATGTTCCTAACACGTTCGTTGGTATGCATATATGAATTCATAGAATTTATTCTGGCGTATTATACAAGTATTGAAATCCGGTCGCTTCAATAAGATCAATTTCACAATACGTTACCCTATCTTTGTAAACATGTAATGCGTTTCGCAGTAACAACGGATATTGCTACGTTTCTACATAAATAAGGAAAATCTTTCCAGTACATGTTGCAGTGTTCACCCCGAAAGGCCGAAGCGTGAAGATAAGTGAATATTTCTATTGGAGCAGACAACGACAAAATTGTTTATTCAGAACACGGATGCTCTGACAAAGTCGAACCTACGTACAGTTTGATCATAGATAAAAAAAATAGCAATATAGAGGTGTTACCTTATTGAAAGTTATACGAATAGGTTTAAAAGAGGAGCTCCACTCCATATTTGCGTATATAGAAAAGAAATGAATTTTCAGTCTTCAGCCTACAAAAGGGGAAGCTTTCAACAAAAACAGCTAACATATAGTTTTTGACAAAGATGCAGTTCACTACACCACTGTTTTATCTAGCAGACATCATAAGCCGTGGCTCATTCTTGTCTCTTTAAAATCTTGCATCAGTTCGCAATAAATTTGATTTTAGAGTATCAACGTATCATTATTTGTGATATGGCGACGACCAGATAGCGTAATGGTTTGTTCAACGGACTGCTATTCCAATGGTCGCGGGTTCAATTTCCGCTCAAGTCAAACATTTGTATGCATGAACATGTAATGTTTGATTTGGTCTGGGTGTTTCTATGTATAATATGTATGTATTTACAAAAAACAAGTATATAAGTATTTATATCAGTTGTCTAGTAGCCATAGTACAAGCTCTGCTTACTTTGAGACTCGATGGCGTTGTGTGAATGTGGTAGAATATGATTATTATTATTATATTAAAGTTTTCGGAAGTGTTGCTTACTACAATCGGGGTTGATCACCCTGTCTTTCAGCCTATTGCAATGACATCAATGTTTTGAAGCAAGTCCGGTTTTTTATATTCTTACTCCGAGGCAGTTACTGCGAGGCAGTGCAGTATTAGGTACTCCCTAGGAATACGACTATACTGTACGAGCTGTAGGAACTAGCATGCTTCTGTACTTTGTCGCGTAACCTGTTTATGCTGTAATTCCTTACTTTGTTTGTTCAACGTTTGTTCTCAAACTAATTAACCTTATGCTGTCTACATTATTAACATAGTCTTTGACCCGCCAAAAAACCTAGGGAACAAGCACCAGTACCATTATTACGTTGCTTGTTTGTTTGTTTTGAAACTCCTATTACTGCATTTCAAACGTGAATAAACAAGTTTTAAAAATAATGTACATTCATTTTTTTTTTTACACTGTACTTAATCAAACTTAATCAAATTTACACTATTCTTAATCCAAATTTATTAAACTTTATTTTCTGTTTTTTAGTTGGATTTTCTATAAAAGCGTGTTTTTAATTTTAGTTTTTTTAAACTATTATTTATTTTTCATTTTTTAGTTATTTTTTTTGGTTTTTTCTGTAAATCACGGTTATAAATATATTATGGATATTATAAAATGATAATAGAATGCGTATTAGATTTGTCGGGACATATATGTAAGTATAAGGAACAAGACGCAACTACCATATTAGTTTTTATAAGGTTGTGCTGAACTGAGTGCCCGAAAGAGCAAGTCTGGAACTGCACGCATGCGTAGTTCGCGCACTAGCTCTGTCTCTCTTACTCGCATGCAAAGGATGCGGAAAGAAATTAATTAATCCTGGCGAATCTAATTAGGATAATCGGATATTTTGATCGGATTATTGCATTGTCATCGACCTTTGACAGGTGTGCAAAGTTTGAATCAAATCTGATCGTTCAAAGTAGGGCAAAATCGAGCTCAAAGGAGTCGGTTACATACAAACAAACAAACAAACATACAGGTGAAGCTAATAAAAGCGTGTTAACAACTAAATTCATTTGTAATTTCTCTAATAGCAAACAAAAACGTGCTTTGTGCTTTTATTATAGAAATTAATTTAACTTTACCGTCTGAAACTCGTTTATAGATACCTTTTTGTATCACGTTTTTAAAGGACTTTTCTATGTTTTATTAATGGATGAAATAAAGTGTGTCTCTACATATTTAAAAATGTACTACATGAAAACATCAATACAGGTTAAGAACCTTTTTTTAGAGATCCGTATGAAATGAAAAAGAAATGCAATTCATGCAAAAAATCCTATAAAGGGTACACTCGCTGGCTTCGACAGATTGAATGACAGACGTCTCTCGGTCAATTTGATTTTACTGAAACGTTCGTTTAAATTTAGTTTTTAGGTATTAGTTTGGAGGAACGGGTGTCATGTCCCTCCAACACAAAGGGAGGATCCTCCGACCAGGCGAGGTGATCATGCCTGGCGGGCAGCGGGCCAACAGTTGATGGTGGGAAGTTTTATATCGCGATACAGTAATAGTAATTCTCATTCAGGACTTATTCCGTAGTTTGGTGTGTCTTCGTTGGATGGCGCTGTAGTATGTTTCTGTTTCTTTGTATGTGGGAGTCGTCACAATTAGTACTTGTGACTAAAAAAGGAAATAAATATAATTAAAGGTTTTTCGAAAAGGACCCTCCTTTTTTGGACCCTGGCTAAAGTTCTTTACTCATAAGTAACAGAAAGGACAGGGAGTCTAATTAATACACCAATGCCTTATATATACTTCTTACTAAAGTGAATTTTATTGCTCTAAATACCCAATATCTACTAAGAATATATCGGCTAGTCGCTTTGCGGTGTGTGCTTTGACCATCTCATGCAATGTATAATTAAAAAAAAAAATCTATAAATCATTTCAACCCAAAAATCATGTGATTAATAAAAAAC